AATAGCTATGTTTTATAGGCAAAATTTAATTTTTTTAAAAGAGCAGATACCTGGACATATCCTGGCAATGTTTTTTAATTAATGGGAAAAATAATTTTGCCTTAGCTGGTTTGGGTCAGTGGATAGAGCATTTGGACTGAAAGGTCCCAGGTTCAGTTCCAGTCAAGGGCACATGCCTGGGTTGTGGACTTGATCCCCAGTAGGGGGCGTGCAGGAGGCAGCCAATCAATGATTCTCTATCATCATTGATGTTTCTATCTCTCTCTCCCTCTCCCTTCCTCTCTGAAATCAATAAAAATACATTTTAAAAAAGAAAAAATAATTTTAAGAATCAAAAAGGCATAAACCAGTTAATTCTTAAACTTCTCTGTAGCACTGCAGTTTTTCCAGAATAATGTGGGTGACTTTCAGAAAATTTTGAAGAAAAAAAATTTATTTATTATTTTAATTAAGATATAATTGACATATAACTTTATATTAGTTTCAGATATACAACATGATTTGATAATTGTATATATTGCTAAGGAGTCACCACAATAAGTCTAGTTAGCATCTATCACCATTTTTTTTGGTGATGAGAACTTTTAAGATCTGCTCTTTTAGCAACTTTCAAATATACAATACAGTATTATTAACTATAGTCACCATGCTGTACATCACATCCCCTTGATTTATTTATAACTGGAAGTTCATAATAAAAAAAATTGATCCTAAACCAGTGATGGCGAACCTATGACACGCGGACTCATTTTTTTGGTTGATTTTTCTTTGTTAAATGGCATTTAAATATATAACATAAATATCAAAAATATAAGTCTTTGTTTTACTATGGTTGCAAATATCAAAAAATTTCTATATGTGACATGGCACCAGAGTTAAGTTAGGGTTTTTCAAAATGCTGACACGCCGAGCTCAAAAGGTTCGCCATCACTGTCCTAATCTATCGTACCCAGCCAAGCTGTTGTTTGTAGATGGTAGGAAAAAAGAACCTTGGATAAGGAAGGATTCAGAAAAATGCACCTTTCCCCTATTCTTCCAAAAAAAGAATATTATGAGTGAAGGAACTTCAGTTAATCAAAAGACGGGTCAGAGTTAAGCACGTAAGAATGGGAAAGTGCGGCATAACAAAACTGGCAGTGCAAATGTAAATCAGCCTAGTATGGAGCTAAGTTTAAATAATAGTTGTAAATATGATTCAAAAGCAAATAGCAAAAAGTCATTCTTAAAAAATAAGATACAGTATATAAAATGATTTGATGACAGCAAACTGAACCAAATTCCAGGTTATCTTTACAAAAACCAGGGAGAAAGAAGTAAAAAGTATTTCAGATTCTGTTTCCTAACTATTAGGAAGTTGAAAAATATTTTTTTAACTTTTATTTTTGATCATTAGGAAAACATAGATTAAAAATGTGTCATTGCCCTAACCGGTCTGGCACAGTGGATAGAGCATCGGCCTGCGGACTGAAAGGTCCCAGGTTCGATTCCGGCCAAGGGCATACACCTTGGTTGCGGGCACATCCCCAATAGGAGGTGTTGCAGGAGACAGCTGATCGATGTTTCTCTCTCATTGATGCTTCTAACTCTCTATCCCTCTCCCTTCCTCTCTGTAAAAAATCAATAAAATATATTTTAAAAAATGTGCCATAAAAACTTAAAAGAAAGCCACTTGTAAAAATATATACAGTCTGGAAAAGGCAAAAGTAAGCCAATAGTGTCCAGTGTCAATCTCTGTCAACAAATTCCATTCTCTGCCTTTCCTAACATGGGGCAGGAGTGTAGACTTTTTCCTGCCCTCAAGGAGCTACAATCCAGGAGAGAAAGATGAAAACACATGACTAAAACTCAGCCTGATATGAGAGCTTGTATATGATTCTCTTTCTAGAGGACTTAGAATTCATGGTGGGACAGGGGTGACTTGGGAAGGAGGAGGTTGAGAAAGGCATCCCTTCATAACACTTAGGACACTTAAATTATTTGTCTATCTTCCCTACTTCCCTTATGGTAAGTACCACAAGGGCAAGGGACCTTGTCTTATTCAATGGATGGATGGATGGATGGATGGATGGATGGATGGATGGACGGACGGGCGGACTCTTAGTTAATTAGACCCTTACCTTGCTCAATTCACATTTCCCCAAGGGAGTCTAATTAATGCTACATCTGGGAGTAAAGTTCACCTTCTCAACAGACATCTCTCTGTAGGTCATCCACCTTCTACACTCCAGCATAAAATTGCCAAATCATGCCTCAGGGGCCTGGAGGGAGGATATTCCTGCCTAAAGGCCTACCTCACCACCAGGAGCGCCCGCTGGGGAGCAGGGAGGCCAAGGCAAGTGTATTATTCTTGGTGACTCGCAGTGTTAAAATGAGAGAGCAAGAATGCATCTTTGATCGTATTATTTTTTTCTTCCAATTTGATATAGAGCCCAGAAAGCTAATCTGTGGCATAAATGATGTATCCGGTCAGGATGCAGTTCTCAGGGAGGAAGGGGGCCTGACAGCAGGTTGTATACCAACAACCCACTAGCAGTCCTGTCGTTCTCTCTGTTGGTCTGTATTTCCCTTACCCTCCCTAGGGGGAAAAATATGAAGACATTGTGTTGTCATTTGCAATACCGGCCTAGTAAACGCAGGGTTAGGCTTTTAGTTCTCAGAGCACAGTCGTCATGGCAACACCAGAATCAAGGAGCAGGCCGCCTTTTGGCCATTGTCTGAAGTACAAAGTCCTTGCTCAGCTTTGCACAAGCTGGTCAAATAACACACCCAGCCACACAGATGCAGACACCGGCAGGCAGGAACTCACATACATAGACAGGTTTTTAAATCACATAGCAAGAGGCAAGTTCCTTCCTACAGCTTTTCACGATCCAGTCCACTGAGGCCTTAAGTGTCTGCTCCCCCTTCTTCTCCTTCACCTACCGACGGGAATGGGAGATACTCGCAAGACAACAAGGACAACAAGCCTTCCAGTGTTCGAGGAGCTCTCAGCCCTGTAGGTGCAGGTCTGCTCTGCACGTTCTTGAAACACAGCTCCCTGGGACCGACTGCCATGGTTCACTGGTTGGTGTGAAAGTTACGTCTTGTCCCGATGGCGATAGGAGGACGGGGCCCGGACATGCATTGGTGGAGCATGTCGGTGGCCTCCTTGCCTGCAGCTGTCAGACGTACTGCTGACCTGAACCAGCCTGCCCTTCCATGGGAATCCGGGCCCAGCACACTCAGCCAGGAGAGAAACTGTGCAGACTTTTTTTTGTCTTAACTTTATGTGCTTCTTTGGGAGTTTGGGGTCTGAATGTATGGGGACCTAAAATAAATGAGGACATTCAGCTCCTTGCCCCATTTCCTCAAAGGATTCTAATTAATGGGTGTATCTCCATAGGTCTCTGACCCCCGAGGCTCAGGTCTTCTGCTCTTAATTCTGGCCCCAAGGTCCCTGGCCCCAATGACATGTTAAGGATATACTTGGTGGCCATTGACCTTCTGGACTCTTTGGGGCTAATCCATGCAACTATGAATGAAAGACACTCCTTCCATCCTGCCCTGGGGTGTCCTACAGGCCAGGTCATCCAGCCTTCCCAACAAGGACCGGACACATACAAGCATCTGCAAGTTGTCTGATGGAGCTAGCATAAAAAATTTAAGTGGGACGTATCAGGAGACCACTCTGTTTCCTGCTAAACAGTCTGGACTTCATCCTGCAGACATAGGAGCCATTGAAGGGCATGATGTAGGGGACCGGCAGGTTCTGGTTTGCCTTCTCCAGGGTTACGCTGGTGGTGACAGAGAGGGTGTATTGGAGGGAGTGAAACTTGGAACAAAGGGAAAATTTGGCTTGGGAGGATGTTGCAATAGTCCAAGCAAGACTGGCAAGGAGAGAAAGACGGGCTTCCCTGCCACTAGCTGCTGGTATCCCCAATCAGGAACTCTCTGGACATGGAAGCAGGAGAGACCTAGGTCCTTTTTACTCGTCCTGGTGGTTCTATAACCTTCCGTCCTGGTTCTGATTCTTATATTTGATGACTAACGCTTATTCCATCACCTCATCATTCTCCTCTTCCTGCTTCCCTTCTTCTCCCTTCCCCTCTCCTTCCCTCCCTCCCTCCCTGCCACCCTCTCTCCCTCTTCCTGCTCTTTCTCCCTCCTCCCCCTCCATTCTCTCTCTCTTTCTCTCTCTCTCCCCACCCACCCCCATCTCCCTCTGCTGCTGCTTCTCCCTCTCCCCACCTCCATCTCTCTCTTCCCCTCCCTCCCTCTTTCTCTCTCTGTCTGGAACAGCCTGGAGCAATAAACCTTGCCTCCTGCTTCTAGCTCAAGCCTTTCTAAAAGGAGAAAAAAAGAAAAGTAAAACAGAAAAGCAAGCCAGACCTATAAAAAGAATAACTGAAGAACAATCGCTCGTGTCTGGGAGAGGCAGTATGATGCAGAGAGCACAGCTGCCCTCACCACTTGAAGACAGAAGCCTCTAGGGTCAGGAGAAGCAACAAAGGTTTGGTCTCCCAGAGTCTGGAACCCCTGGGATGCTTCACACATATTCAAAACAGCTTTTGTCATGGGTCCCATCATCTCAGAGCCTGGAGGAGGCAATCACAGCCTTCACCAATGATCCTGCCACTCCGGTGGAAACAGAAACCCATTAAACAGCACCCCACATTCTGGCTTCCCTTGTGACCATCCACCACCTTCCACGTGCCCAGAACTATGGTCAGTAACTATCCCAGGCCCCAGCAACCTGTTTACAAACATCTAGAATTCCCAGGCACTTCAGGATGTTTCCAAGCAGGCAGCAAAGTCTTCTCTGAGAGAATCCGTCCCTTCAGATCTATTTATGCCGATGTAAACACTTGCCAAGGAAACAAGGCATGTGGGCATGCGCGGCCCTGCCAGCCCTGGGGTTGCTGCAAAAGGCAACTGGAAAGTCACATGTCCCAACAGTGGAAAATACATATGCAGCTATTCTTAGCTCTGGAATGTATACACCGTCTCCCTGCCCAGCAGCTCTGTCACAAAGCTCTAGAAAACTGTGAAAGCGCCTTTAGCATAAACAAATCCAGAAGTCTCCCAGGACCAACCATTTGTCAACTGAAGGAAAGGCCCAGGTTTATGGTTTCACTTGGAGCCAGAGGTGGAAACTCCGGCGGGACCAGTCGGACCAGGCATCGGTGGCTATCACTGCAGCCAAACAAGGTAAATGTCTCTAACGTTTCCCTCTTCTGCAGGTGGACTGCCAGGTGTCGAGCAATACACCCCACCCAGGGTATTACTGGGGCTCTGCTTTCTACTTATCCCATCTTTAAAACAAAACCCTAACGAATTTGTGAAGTCATGTTTCAATAAATGTATTGCAAAAGTCCCTTTTCATCCCTTGTTTCTGTCTGGTTACCAGAGGGCCACGCCCCCTCAGAATGACAAGCTTGGGGAATGACTAACACCCAGAAAGATGCAGAGATGAGTTCACTAAATAACAGAAGGCTGAGAATCTGGAGAAAGGCTCACAGACTTCCGCTGGTCAAGTGCACGGGCTGTTTATTTTGCTTCCGGCTAACATTTCAGACCCCGACAATCAGTACCTTCCTACAACCTTCGTTGTTTTTGTTTGCTTGTTTTTTTCTCAGATTATCTGAAGGAAGATGTTATTTGCCTGTTACCTTTCAGAGCAATCATAACCAAAAAGAGAGGTGTCAGCTGTGGGGTCTGGAGTGTGGGTGGCCTCCCTCTGCAATCTTCACTAAGCAATATTCTTGGCGATACCCATACGCACTGGTGAGTGGACACAGATGCTCTAAGTCTCCGAGCTGTGACAGCTAAACCCTCCTGTACGTGCTCCCTCTTGGAACTCCCCTTCACCCCACTTCTTTGCAGGATGGACAAGGAGTCAGCAGATGGGCTGCTCTTCAAAGACCACGACTTCTCCTCTGACTTGTTGAGGCAGCTCAATGGCTTAAGACAAAGCAGAATCCTGACGGATGTAATCATCTGTGTTGGGGCCTGGGAGGTCCCCTGCCACCGAAACGTGCTGGCCTCCAGCAGCCCCTACTTCCGGGCCATGTTCTGCAGCAACTTCCGGGAGAGCGGGGAGGCCAAGGTCCAGCTGAGAGGCATCGACTCCACGACCCTAGAGCAGCTCGTCCTGTATGTGTACACGGGGGAGGTGCCCATCACGGCTGAGAACGTTCTGCCCTTGCTGGAGGCTGCCTCCATGCTGCAGTACCCCAAGCTCTTTGAGGCCTGCTCCTCCTACCTGCAGAGCCAGCTGACCCCCAGCAACTGCCTGGGCATGATCAGACTCTCGGAGATCCTCAGCTGCGAGACCCTCAAGAAGACGGCCAGGGAGGTGGCCCTGACGTACTTCCCAGAGGTGGCCGCATCCGCTGACCTGAAGGAACTCTGCGCCTTGGAATTGAGAGACTACCTGGGGGACGACGGGCTGTGCGGGGAGGAGGAAAAGGTGTTTGAGGCCTTCATGGGTTGGGTCAAGCATGACCTCCAGACCCGGAAGCGATACATGCAGGAACTGTTCAAGCTCGTCAGGCTTCCGTACATCCACCCGGCCTTCTTCCACCACTTCATCGCCAACGATGCCCTCCTTCAGTCCTCGCCCTCATGCCAGATCATCTTGGAGATGGCCAGGAGGCAGATGTGTTCTTTGTATGGCACCACCAGTGTCCCAGACCTCCAACCTCCGTGGCACGTGCCCCCAAGGAACTCTTACCAAGACTTCCTCATCCTCTTGGGTGGGAGGAAGGACAACCAGCAGACCACGAGGGACGTTCTGCTGTACCACAGACAGACAGGCCAATGGCGGAGCCTCGCCAAACTCCCCACCCGGCTCTACAAGGCCGCAGCCGTGGCCTTGCACCGCAGCGTCTATGTGCTGGGAGGCATGGCCGTGGGTACAGAGAAGAGTGAGCCCAGTCGCCACGTCTACATCTTCTCCCTGAAACTCAATCAGTGGAGGCTGGGACAGCCCATGCTGGCGGCCCGCTACTCCCACAGAAGCACCTCCCATAAGAACTTCATCTTCTCCATCGGGGGGATTGGAGAAGGGCAGGAGGTCTTGGGCTCCATGGAGAGATATGACAGCATCTGCAACGCCTGGGAGAATATGGCCAGCATGCCAGTGGGGGTTCTGCACCCTGCAGTTGCTGTGAAAGACCAAAGACTCTACCTTTTCGGAGGAGAGGACATTATGCAGAACCCTGTGCGCCTTATCCAGGTAAATGGCTGGTCCTTCTCATCATGTAAGTGCATAAGTGTGTACCCCCACCACATGCACACACACAAACACACACATATGTAAATACTCGCATAACACACACATACACACTTGTCATCTGCAGGGAAGTGGGGGTGAGGGGAGAAGGAAAAGAAGGAAGAAAGAGAGGGAGGAAGGAAGTTTAATTTCAACAAGATTTTATCCATTTATGAATTATTTTGTGTAAGGTTCATATATACAAAGGTACATCAGATACAACCATGAATGTAAAGGTGAAGAACATGGACTCTGGACTCAACCAGACCAGCTCTGCTTCTCACTCTAGCTGTGTGACTTTGGGAATGTCACTTAACCTCTCTGAACCTCAATGTCTAATTTGAAAAATGGGGGTTAATAATATTACCTACTTCATTGGATGGTTGTGATGATAAAATTTGGTAAACTGATTTTTAAAAAATAATAAGGCCTTTATATGATGGCAATTATATTTTACACAGAAAGAATTCCCAGTGAATAATACTGGGCCATTTTCCTCTATAAATGAATATTTTTGTTCCTTTTTTTTATATGAAGTCCATCCTATCTCTCTTGTGCTAAATTCTGCCAGTAATAAACTAATTTACATTTGATATTTGAACTTTAAAATGAGAAAATTACCAGGAAAACAAGTTCTGGGGATCCTGATTTGCTCTGTTTCCGAGTGCAGCCCATCTCTGTGCTCTGTTTGCCTTTCCTCGTGCCTCATGTTGTCTATGGTTCTAATGACTCTCAAGCAGGAGCTGTCCAAGAGCCTTCCTCACGTAGCCCCAGACTTGCTCCTGGCTCCAAGACCCTCTCGGATACACTGGAACAATTAGACATTTAAACATGAGCTAGAAATCAAAATAACCGAAAAAGCACTGGTTTCATGACCATCCAAGTTGCTCCATTTCTCATTAAAAGAAAAACTTGTCCCGAGCCAGGGAAGCAAACACATGCTACAATGCATAACTCTTGGTCCATTTTATAGAAGCACAGCCTCTGCTCTCATGGGGGTCACATGAAGACCAATTTCTAGTGATATTCTTCTTTCTGTTATTTAGTTATATTTTTTATTGATAGTAATATACCTACATTCTGAAAATTGGAAAAATCTCTCCCATTTCACCCTTTCATTACTACTTTTTAAAGAGGACCATGTTTTTTTAAATGTGTTTTTATTGATTTTAGAGAGAGGAAAGGAGAGGGAGAGAGAAACATTGATGGAGAGAGAAACATCAATCATCGATAGGTTGCTTCCTACACACACCCCATTGGGGATTGAGCCCACAAACCAGGCATGTGCCCTGACAGGGAACTGAACGTCTTGGTGCATGGGAAGATGCTCAACCAACTGAGCCACACCTTCCGGGGCTTAATTACTACTTCTGTCTTTTGAAAATATCACTTTAAGATACAGCGCCATGATTCTATCTCCCCCTCAGGTTTATCACATTTCCAGAAACACGTGGTTCAAAATGGAGACGAGAATGATCAAGAACGTGTGTGCCCCTGCAGTGGTGCTGGGGGAGCGGATTGTCATCGTGGGAGGTGAGTCTGAGCAGAGGATCGCCAGGCTGGGCATAACTTGGCATCTGCCATGGAAAAAGGGTCACTAACAGACGGACGTTGTTCTCCAACACTGTCTCTGTAAAATCACATCCCTCTGGCTGAGGGAGTGTGGACAACTTGACAAAGTTCTTTTCCCCTCCAGAAGTTTCTCCCTGTCATTTTCTGTAAACAGGAATGAAATAATGCCTTATTTCACAGAGTTGTTGTGATAATAAAACATACTCACGTATTGAAAGCACGTGGCGTGGTCCCAGACACGTGGCAAATACTCAAAACACGTTTGCTCTTGTTAACATTAGCTACTGATGGATCATTCCTCTGTAATCACAGCGTAGTGTCGTGGTTAGGAGGACCGGTTTGGGGGTCCGACAGATCTGGGTTCACATCCTGCCTCTGCCACTCCCTGGCTGGATGCTCTTTGGCAAGTTATGACTCTGTTGTGCCTCAGTTTGCTCATCTGTAAAATGGAGATCCTCAGAGGGCCCCACCCGATAAGGCTGTTGTGGGGACCCATGAGTTCCCAAAGGTTCCTTCTTTGGATCGTTGTAGCTCTGGGGGGGGCATGTGAGCGGGATGAAGAAGCCAGGAGGCTGCTCCCCACTGAAAACGGACTATGTGTTGCCTGAACCTGGGGTTAGGGATGCAGGGGCCAAGCCCCATCCCTGCTGCACACTTAACCTTGGGCAGGTTACCGGTTAACGTTCCACGCTGTAGTTCAGATTCCAGCCTCAGTGTTAGGCGAGGGCAGAGATCAGACACGTGCCCAGACCGCTGACCTCCACTCCCAAATGAGCAATGCTGACCTTGCCGCCATACCACTTGGCTTTCAGGTTACACAAGGAGGATTCTGGCTTATGACCCTCAGTCCAACAAATTTGTCAAATGTGCGGACATGAAAGACCGGAGGATGCACCACGGGGCCGCGGTGATGGGGAACAAGCTCTACGTGACAGGCGGCCGGCGGCTGACCACGGACTGCCACATCGAGGACTCGGCCTCCTTTGACTGCTACGACCCCGAGACGGACACCTGGACCTCGCAGGGACAGCTGCCTCACAAACTCTTTGACCACGCCTGCCTCACTCTCCAGTGCATTCCCCACGCCTCCACCTTCTCCTGAGGTCGATGAGAAACCAAAAAACCGGCTGTGTTAGTCCAGACGTTCTTGTTGCAAGAGACAGAGCCCAACTCCAACAAACTTGACCCTAAACAGGTGCAGCCAGAGCTCACGAGACTCAAAGTTCCAGAGCTGGAGGCCTGGAACCAGGCCTATTGTTGGCAAAATACTGTCTCTCTCTCTCTCTCTCTCTCTCTCTCTCTCTCTCTCTCTCTCTCCCTCCCTCCCTCCCTCCCTCCCTCCCTCTCTGGCTTTGTTCTCCACACCATGTGAGGACAAATCCAGACTCACATTCTCTAGCTTAGCATCTTCAGGAGAGACTTTACCATTATCCATATATTAACCCTAAAAAGAATTAAACAGTGCTGTTTGGCCCTTTTTGAATTCCATGCAACCTCTTGAGCCAATCACCATTTCCAGGGATCATACTACCATAACTGGCTAGTCCTGGATGGTGTCCCTACAGGCAGAGGTGGGGTTAATGATCGTGGACAACCTATCTGAACGGCACTTAATGGCATAGAAGTGGTTCCCCAAAGGAAGACATGCTGGGCTGACAAAAGCCACATCTGCCCGAACACCATGGAGACTGGGAACAGGAGGGCGAAGAGCCCCTGGAAGCCCCTGGTCCGGGTGGCAGCATGAGCAGTGGCCATGGCCGAGTGTCCCTGAGGCCAGGGATGCGGTGCGTTGGAATTCCAGAAAGTATGTGCAGCTCCATATCTAGTGTTCGCAGCATTGTCTGTGCTGCCAGAATAAAGTTTGCTTCTGTTGCCAAGAGATGTTTTTTCTCCAGCCTCTGGGGAGCTATAAACCTGCAGAATTAATCAGGATTTTCATTTTGGTAAATGTTATGAGAATTGCTCTTCTGAGGAAAGCCAACAAATTCCTTCAGAGATTACAGCAATTATTGCCCCCCCAGTGCTGGGGCTGACTTTCCCTGTGGCTTTCTTTATCTCAAAGTGCCTCCCACGCTGGGCCCAGTCCCGGGCACAGGAATAAGCGGAAGCTGGAGGCACATTACAATCACCTGGGAAGATGTTTGAACATGGGACTGATCCCCAGTGGAGAGGGACAGATGGGGATTCTCAGAGGCGGGGCCCAGAGCTCTGTAGTTTTGAAAAGCATCCTAGGTCATTATAAGGTGCAGTCAAAACCACCACACTGCTCATCTGTGGGCACTGAAGACCTTCATATGCGAGTCCCTCCCCATCCTGTCCCAGCCAGCCCTGTCCCAGCCCAGCGGTGTACGCAAAGTCCTCTCCCCACCTATGGGAGCACCTGGAATGAGTCTTGCTGCCCTGAGTCTGGCACCACAGGCCCATGCTCTGGACTTTTCATGTGTGATAGAAGCCTCCCCCGACCCTTGCTCAAGAGATCTTTATTATTTCTGCCCCCTCTTTCTTGTCTGAGGGCCTTTGCACTTGCAGTTGCCCCTGCCTAATACACACCTCCCTCACCTCTTCACCTGACCTAATTTCAATTTATACCTTACACACCAGATTTAGTGAAAGTCACTGAATCAAGGAGGCCTTTCGTGTACCCTCCCCTTCCCCCTCCCCAACCCCACCCACCCCAGCCTGGGTCAGCTCTCTCATTAAATGTTCCCATTGTCTCCTATACTTTCTGTATTTTTTTTTTTTTTTAATCTTCACCCGAGGATAATTTTCCCATTGATTTTTAGGGAGAGCGGAAGAGAGAGGGAAAGACAGAGAGAAGCATCGATGTGAGAGAAACACATCAATTGGTTGCCTCCTGCATGAACCACAACCAGGGCCCAGGCTGGGGAGGAGCCTGCAACCAAGGTACGTGTCCTTGACTGGAATTGAACCCAGGACCCTTTGATCTGCAGGCTGACGCTCTATCCACCGAGCCAAAGCGGCTAGGGCTATTTTCTGTATTTTTATCTTTGAGACTCTTACCCTATTTGTAATTACTGTCTTTCCCTCTAGACCAGTGGTTCTCAACCTTGGCTGCACATGAGAATCACCTGGGACTCTTTAAAATCCTGATTTCTGGACCTCATCCTCCAGAAATTCTGTTTCTTTGTTATGGGGTAGAGCCACAACATTAGTAACAAAGAAACAGAATTTCCAGAGGATGAGGCCCAGAAATCAGGATTTTAAAAAGATTCCCAGGTGATTCTCATGTGCAGCCAAGGTTGAGAACCACTGCTCTAGACCCTTACATCTGCCCTTTTCTCTGCATTCCCAGGGCTAGTCTCAATATTAGCCACATACATATAGATTTTCAGTAAGTATATGGTGGGTGGATTAATAATTAGTCAATGAATATCAAGACTGGATCTATAGAGAGTCGTGTATGTAGGCACCAGTTGAAGCAGCCCAGATCCTCTACTCAGATTTGATCCTGTCCTCTCTTTTCTATCCCTTTACCATCCTGAACTGAGTTCGGTGAGTCTGGGTGGGGGACTAAGAGACATGGCCTGCCTTGCTCAAGCCTGGAGGGTAAAAAGAGCTTTGTCTATAAAGGATCCTACTTGCCCCACATTAAAAGCGGGACTCTTGCCCAGCAGTGTAGCTCAAAGATTGAGCACCATCCTATGAAAAGGAGGTTGCAATTCGACTCCCTGTCGGGGCATATGCCCAGGTTTCAGGCTTGATCCCGTGTCGGGCGTGCAGGAGGCAGCTGATTGATGTTTCTCTCTCATCGATGTTTCTATCTCCCTCATCCTTCCTCTCTGAAATCAATTTAAAAAATACATTTTTTTAAAAAAAGTGGGACTCTAGCCTGGCAGGTGTGCGCTAGTGGTTGAGAGTCAACCCCATGAACCAAGAGGTTAATGGTTTGATTCCCAGTCAGGGCACATGCCCAGGTTGCACCTTGATCCCCAGTAGGGGGTGTGCAGGAGGCAGCCGATCCATGCATCTCATCGATGTTTCTATCTCCCCTCTCCCTTCCACTCTGAAATCAATGAAAATATGTATTTTTTTAAAAAAACATTTTTTTTAAAAGTGGGACTCTTGCTGTCATTAAATGCCTTCTGGGATCTCCAAAAATCCTTCCGTCAGAGACTTGCTAACACCCTGTCTCTCCCTCCATCTCCATCCAGTACTTAATAAGCTGCCAGCCTTAGTGGCAACTTGGAGCTCGTCCAAGTCTCCCTGGGACACAGAACAACTCTGTAAATTGCCCACTGGGTTCTATAAAGAAAGATGGCGCCAAGGCCAGACACATTTGGACACGTGGGTGGCCAGCTTCGGGAATCAGATAAGACACCTCTGCGGCAGGTACATTCACACAGCTGGGCATCCCACTGGCCAAGCCCCATCTGAACTGATTGCAAAACAACCCTCAGGGCACGCAGCATCCTTTCTGATCTGCTGAGGAGGATTCAGTCCAAAAAAAAGAGAGAAGCTTTTGGCACCAGGCTTCCTTGGTCTCCCCAGCTGAGCAGAGAGCCGCAGGACTGAGCTGAGGTCAAAATATATTTAGCCGGCAGCAGTTAAACTAAAACATTTTAAGTTAAAAAATGTCAACTCTCCTGATGAATCATTTCAACAGGCAACAAGGGAAGGGGGGAATGAAGCAGAGCGAGGTCTAAGCAAGAAAAAACACTAATGAAAATATCAAACTCCCCGTCCCAACATAAACCGTGACAGGACAGGAGCCTGACAGAGCAATAGTGACAGACGGCAGAAGCTGCAGCGGGGCGAGTGGGAAGCAGGGCCCTGGAAACCTCTCCCAGCCCGGACCTGGCTCCCAGCAGGCGTCCTGGGAGAAGTCCAGCCAGCAGGCCATTCCCTGACCAAGACGTGGCCATCCTCTCACAGGGCAGCATGGCCCCAGCAGTACGGAGTTGTGGCATGCTGGCCCCACCCCGTTCACCCCTTCCGACGCTCTCCCCATGAGCAGTGGTGGTTCTGAAGGTGAACCCCCTGACCTGGAGCCTCCAGTGTCCCCTCCAGGTGGCCTCTTTGTTGTGACCCTGCCTCTTCTGCATCCACTCTCTCTGGTGAACAACAGAAAGTCCCCAGTATCCACATCTTTAAAACCAAAGATACCAAAAAAGCTGAATTTACTTTTGCCACCTGTGAAAAAACAATAACGCCCCAGAGGACAAGGACTGTGACAGGTTTTACTCCAACTCGTTGTCCTTCTTAGGATGTCTGACACCCCGTGCCTCGCTCCAACATGCTTTGCATGTCCATGCCTCTGTGCCTTTGCATATGCTATTCCCTCTGCTATGATGCCTTTCCCTGCCTCCCCAGGTCTTTGTTTCCTCTGTGAAGCCTTCTCCAACCTTTGTCCCCTCCCTCCCTTTATTCCAGCTCCTTTCACATTGTAGCACCATAGAGACTTGTTGAATGAAACTGAAGGGAAACTCTTTTGGGGGCAATATTAAGAGCCTGGTTCCCTATGAACCACTAGGCCAAGTTCAGTCAGTACCTGGCAAACAGACAATGCTGACATATTTGTGGAATGCATAAGTGGATGCATAAGTAAATGGGTCCTAAACACCATTGGAGTGTCCGGCCTGCTCTCGGTGAAAACAGGCCTTACCTGAATTAAACATTGGGGTTTAAATCAGGTAGGAACAGATGGTGTCTAACCTTTCAAAAGGATTAATATGGATCCATCTGACAACAATGAAAAATAGATCCTAGAGTATGCGATGTGGCAGGAAGATGATTACATTGCTATTTGCCCTGGAACCCTATTCAAGACGAGTCCAAAGTGCACAGCCATAACAAACTACCACAGATTTGGTGGCTTAAAAAACAGAAACATATTCTCTACCCGTTCTCTACGCTGGAAGTCCAACATCAAGGTGTCAGCAGGGCTGTGCTCCCTCTGAAGGCTCTAAGGGAGGGTCTTTCCTTGTGTCTTCCAGCTCCTGGTGGCTCCTAAAAACATTGCCATCCTTGACTTGTAACTGCATCACTCTGGGTTATACCTCCATCATCGCATGGCCTTCTCTGTGTGCTCTCTTCTATCTCTGATTGGATTTAGGGCCCAACCTTGTCCAGTGTGATCTCATCTTGATCCTTACCTTATCAAATCTGCAAAGAGCCTGTTTGTGATTACGGTCACATTCTGAGGTTCTGTGTAGACATGAATTTGGGAGAGGCACTATTCATCCCCATAAGGATACCAACTCCTGCAAGAAGGCATCCTTGATGCATCCTCACCCCACTCTGCCTCAGGCTAGGCCACTGTGACCGTGACTCATCCTCAATTCCCTCTTGTAATCAGGGACATCTGCTGGGTGGGGACATCTTTCACTGCTGTAGCATGGGGCCTGGCACTGAGAAGAATCTCAGCAAATGTGTATTGAAGTGAAACAAACGATTTCATGGGGACTAGTAATTTTTTAATAAACTCCAAAGACAATGTAATACAAGACACAGCTTCTGAGCCACTTCCCAAAAGTCCAAGATAAGCAACATGTGCCAAATGCCAATCAAAGAGGAATTAGGGTCCATGAGATGAAGCCCAGGGTCAGACATAAGCAATTATCTAAGAGAACTAATCTGTTAGCACAACGTCACCCCACGTGTCCTATTCTCAGTGCTGACAACATAAGCCTTTGGGGTGACGTCCAGAGAGGCTGCACCTCAAAGCAGAAGCCAATCCTGAGGGTGCTGGGGGAGGGGGTCTGGTTTCTGAAATGTCAGCTCTCACGCAATCTTATAGGAATTCTAGGCTCCCGTTCAAGGGCCACGTCATTCCCTTCTTGTGGGGAAGTTGGGTTTTGTTCCCTAAAGATATCCACCAGTCCCTTTTGGTCTTCATTGCACTTGTCTGATATAATTAGGATTCCAGGGCCTGTGGTCCAGAATTTCCCAGTAATGCTTCCATAACAAGCCAATGGGCCATAAAATGGTGCTTTGAGGACAGAGATCCAAGAATCTGAGGTGCTTGTAAATTAGGAAGACGTAGGCACAGAGGTATGTCCTATTCAAAATAGAGGCTGTCTTTGCAGTTTCCCCCAAAAGACCTGTCAGCTCCATCCACATTCAGAGACAAGAGACCACCTCAGGGCAACCGCATAATCAAAACCTTCTGAAAGGGACTGGGAGGGAAGCAATGTGGAGACATCTGTGCTTCAGATAAGACCAAAGGGAAAATAATACAATTCATTAGCAGAGCCTCTGAGACACTTATCTTTTGTGGAGTGTTTGAGACGAAAACAGAATTCGTCCCCACTTTGGGTATAGATTTATTTGGCTTACTTATCTGAAAGTCAAAGCTAAGAATGCTGATGCGTTTGAGGGAGCCCTGATACTTTTGCACTCAAGACGGAGATCACCAGTGTCTATGCAAATGGGTGTAACAATCAGCCCTCAAAAAAATGTGGGGTGAATGAATGGGTCAGTAAGTAATAATGGCTAATATTTATTGCCCATTTACTAAGCACTGTACCTATATTACCTAGTTCAGTTATCACAAGAACTTCCAGCACCGCCTTAGCACCCACCCTGACCACCCTATCTAAAGTAGTCTCCAACCCACCCACTGCATCAGTCTCTCTCACCCCGTTTCTTCTCTTCATACCTTTTATCATAATCATTTATTATTTTATTGGC